GGCCTTAATGCTGAATTCAAGTCATGTGTGGAGGTCACAGCTGACTGTGAAGACTGTGCAGATGCTTTCACTTACTAGAATAAGAAGGTCCTTTCTTTTAGATATTTTTTTGTTTGTAGTAAAAGGTTTGGGTGTACTGCTTTCTCTTTTTCAGGCCTAAGCCTAAACAAAGAAAACCTCAGTCAAAATATTTATGCAGGACATAGTAGCAACATACCACTGTTCTTTCACTCAGTGAACATGTGTACCGTTCTGGTGTAGTGTTTCTAATGTATCATTCCTCTGAAGATTTCACTTATTTATTTATTTATTTTTATTTTAGGGGAGCTTAAACATCACAGTGTTTTCCTAGGATAAGTAAATTCTGGTACTGCGATTCACAATGAGGAAGTTTTTGCCTGCTGTAACCATGAATAATCCTCCTCACGTGTCTAAGATTTGGGCCAAATGCTGGAGCTCCCAGAGCCCACAGCTGTCGTCCTTGTATTTCCATAGATAATCTGTGCTATGGTAATAAAAAAAAAAGGTCAGAAATTCTTTCAGATTTCATGTACAATATATTTCAGATGATGTTGCATGGAGCCCACACTAGCATTTTTTCTAGTAGGACAGAACCACAGCAGGACTCAACTCTGGAATAATTCCACAAGTGGTATCTACTCTGCTTGAAATTAATATACTGTGTACATTCAAGTTGATCTGCAATGGAATCGAGGGTTGACTTTACATGATTCTGAAAACCGAGAGTGAGCAGAAAATACTGCCAGAAAAAGCTGATCCAGAGGGCAGATAACATTGTCGAAGAAAAGCAGCATATATTGCAAAGATCTCCGTGTGTAAATGTCCATGTTACTACCCCATCTTCACTTTGTATGGTGCAACATGAACTCTGTGTCTGTGAGAAACATCAAGGAAGTGAATGCTTCATAGTAGGGGTTATTCCCAAAGCAATGTCTTCTAGGAAGATATTATTGAGCGTTGCAGGGGTATCTTTGGGACAGAAATCTGAAATGGCGTTGTGGCGTTTAGGTGTGGTGTTTGGGGTTTGTGGGTTGTTGCTGGGGGGTTTTTTTGGTTTTGGGATTTTTTTTTGGCTGGGTAGGAGGAGGTGAAATTGGAGTTCCAACTGAATTAAGTACAGACATGGAATATATCACTTTTGTATTGTCTTTTGTGTTACTTGTGGGGGAAAAAAAAACCCAAACAATATTTGGATATTATTTACACTTATGTTACATCTGTTCCCACCTCTCTCTGCCCCTTCTCTTACTTTGAAGTTGAATACATGATTTTATTGGGAAATAGGCAGGAGGAACCATGACTGTGTTGAGAAAGCGAGGACTACTTTAATTGTGCATTTGTCATCCCCCTGGGTTAAAAAGGCCCCAGTGGAGGTAAATGGATCCCATCTTGGAGAAGCAGTCCCAGTAGGTTCCTGTTACAGTAGGAATATAGCGCATAGTATGCATTTGGTCTTCTCTGGTTATAAGAAAATTATCAGATCTAGAACTACAACTGTGTGACTGAACCAGCGCAAATTCTTGTTCTAGATGTGCACTTGGGATGAATGAAGCAATGGTATTTAAAATAAAAATTGGCTGTGGTAGTAAAAATCTACAGTAGTGGTAGATTCCACAGCAACATGCATTTTGTGTGTCAGAGTTCTCAGCGTTTTGTGAATCATAAAGAGAAATTTAAGATATTATCTTTAAAAGATTTTATGAAGAAGAAAATACAGACCTTTTCTCTGCTGCTTAGGCAGTGAAGTTTTGGCTCATTGAGCTCAGATGCAGTATTGTTTGGCGGGTTGGTTAGTTTACATGTTATTACAGTGAGAGAAGAGTGGGTGGGTTTCTGGAGGAAATACCTCCAAAAAACTGCTGAGTTTCATTTTTAACTGCATGAATCATGCAGATTTGAAGTCTGTTACCTCTGTTATTTCTTAGGGATAATACAACAGAAGACGACATCTGGTTATGTCTCATTTTTCTTTAAACGTGAAAAGCCAATGCAGATTTTCATCACGGGCTTGACAGTTGCTGGCTTGTACATCAGCTTAGCTTTTTTGATGACTTCTCGTTTAATAAATTGATTTTTTGCATTTTACCAAAACATTTGTTTGTATCACTTCCTAATTTTTCTTGCACGTTAGTAAAATACTGTTTTATGAACACATTCCAGAAGAGTATTTTGTTCTTGGGTTGGAGAGAGAATATGCTTCATATGTTAATGCTTCTTACTAGTGGTTAATTATCTTCGGTTTTAAAAGTGTAGTCCTTGTTTGTAGCTGGTGTTATTTTCCTGGCTTTAGCACCCAAATACTGCCTTTCCTCACAACTTAATCTCTGTCCTGGTTTTTGCTAGGATAGGGTTTTCTTCTTAGTAGCTGGAAAAGCACCATGTTCTGGTTTCAGTGGGGACTGTTATGAGAAGGAATGTTGATAACTAGAAGGGCACTGTGCTTGGGCAGTTTGCAAGGGCAGAGGACTGGAAGGGAGGTGGGGTGGAGAAGAAAAGTGTGGTAGATAGTAAAACCCAGAATCGACAGTTGGATCTGCCAATAAGATGTTCCATAGCATATTGCATCATGTTTAGTATATTAACCGGGTCTGACTGGAAAGGGGGGGATTCTCTTGGGAATTGCTTGGACTTGCTTTTCCAGGATTGTGATTTCAGTTTCAGGGTTCCTTTTCACTCCTCCAGGATCATTATCAGCGGTTGGTGAGCAATTGTACTCTGCATCACTCATTCATGTATAGTTGTTATAATTCTTATCATTATTACTCTTATTATTCTAATTTTATTTTACTTTAATTATTAAATTGTTCTTATCTCAGCCTACAAGTCTCCTCTGCTTTACCCCTCCAGTTCTCTCCCCGATTCCCTGGGTGTGGAGGGGCTGCAAGTGGCTGTGTCTTGTTTGGCTGCCAGCTAAGTTAAACTATCACAATCTCTCGGTTTGAGTTCTTCAGTAATGGATATTTTCCCTCTATTACTCTCATCACAGCACCTTTGGAATCATCACTTCTTTTAATAATTGACCTTTCATGGTAACCTCTCTTTTTGATAATTTAAATAATTAAGTTCTTTAAGTTTCTTGCTGTGAGGCATTTTCTACCCTTGAATAATTTTCATAGCTGTTACTGACCTTCGCCTTTAAGCTGTGAGAGGTAGACATTACAGTTCTATGGAGTATTTCATTGTTGGTCTCCTTAACTTTGTGTATGGAGCTGAAATGTTTTCCCTGTTTCCCCTTCATTACTTCCCTTACTTGAACGTAGTTGTGAGAATAGTCCCTTTTTGCTGCAGTGTCCAGTTGGATATATCTGTTGAGGGATCTATCTGCTCTGACCCTCTCAACCCTTGTGCAAGGTCCTGTTTGATAGACTTCAGTTTTGTGTTCAGAAGACTTGGTCATGTTGTTTTGAAGACTAATACAGGGCTAAATACAGACACTATGTCATATCCGTGTGAAGTTTTAAAACATGTGGGCACCAATTACATGGTAAAAGCAGAACCTGGGCAAGATCAAGCAGGGCTTCAGAGCCCTGAGGGCACAAGTGAAGAGGACAGGGACCCAAGTGATCTTCTGCCTTATCATGTCAGGGATAGGGGTGCAGGCAGAGATCAACACAACACGCAGATCAACACCTGGCTTCATGGCTTGTGTCCTTACCAGGGCTTTAGCTTCTGTGATCACAGGACATTTTTCCATGAATACAGATTACTGGGGAGAGATGGGATCTACTACCTAGAGAGGAAAGAGAATCTTTGGGGGCAGATTTGCTGACTTAATGACTCACACTTCAAACTAATGAGCTTAGGGGATGGGGTCCAAAGCCAGGACATTTGTGTGGTCACAAGCAGCAGGGTGGATGAGTGCACCTGCCAGAGTAGTGATGAACACAACCCAACCCTCCAAAAAGGTTCCACCAAAAAGGTGTGAGAGTTGACAGTCAAACTGAGATGCTTCTGTACCAATGTAGGCAGTGTGGGTAACAACCAGGAGGAGCTGGAAAGCTGTCATCTGACCATCATCACTAAAACTTGGTGGGATGAATCCTGTGATTGAAGCACTGCAATTGATGGCTAGAAAGTGCTCAAGAAGGACAGGCGAAGAAGGAAAGGTGAGGTTGTTGCCCTCTACATTAAAAAATGGACTGATTGCACAGTGCTTTTTTAGAAAAACAGAATGTACGTTTCAAGAGCTTATGGGTGAAAATTAGAGATGAAGCCACCAAAGGAAACCTTGTGGCTGGTGTGTATGCTGCAGACCACGTATCAAGGGGAGGACGTTGATGAAGCATTCTGACTTTAACTACAGGAAGCATCACACTTGCAGGGCCTGGTTCTGCTAGAGGACTTCAGCCACACTGACATCTGCTGGAAAAGATGATCTTTAAAGGTCCTTTCCAACCCAAACCATTCTGTGATTTTGAAACAAGTTTCTTGTGCTTCAGGAGGGAGAAGACTGAGGTTTTCTTCTGCAGGCCAGACAGCAGAGCTGTGAGATGAACAATAGCCCCATTGGATAGCCTTGTCCATTTGCTGTAGGAAAGTCAGGAAAAAATTAAGCATGCATCTGTGTGATAAAGCCAATGTCTGAGAGATTTTGAGGGTTTTGTTTGATTAGATGTTAAAGTACATAACTGTTACTGATTTTATTCTAGAATTATTTTGAGAGTACTTTGTGATATGTAGATAACACTGCTGTTAGTGCTGTGGAATGTGCACCAAAGAATCATAAAATTCATCTAATAAAAAGTGTCGAAGTGTTTTACAGTGTTTGAAGCCTGGTCAATCGTGCTTTGTGCTGAAGAGTACCAGATGTTTGCCTGTTTCGAGTCGTTGGCTTTAGATTCTCCAGGCACATACTAATCAATGCCTAGCGTATAAAATTAGCTAATGCTCTTATCTGCAGCGAGGTACTTATGAGAGAGGGTGCTATGTACTTAAAAGCTTTGATGGAGTAATGCCTCAATCTGTTGTACTTAGTAAGTTCATTTTCTTTTCTGAACAGGATACAAGGGAGCTTCCAGAAGTCAGTCAAGATGAATATGGTGAAGAGGATCATGGGCCGGCCGCGGCAGGAGGAGTGTAGCCCCCAGGATAATGCACTAGGCTTGATGCACCTGCGTCGCCTCTTCACAGAGCTCTGTCATCCTCCACGGCACATGACCCAGAAAGAACAAGAAGAAAAACTTTACATGATGTTGCCAGTGTTTAACAGGGTAAGCCAGAGAATCTGCAAAAGGTGGTTTATTTATTTGAATTGACTGCTCATATTTTGTGTTCCCAAGACTTTTGGTCTTTTTTCCTGTTGGTGTCCTTTAATTTTCCCCTTTCTCCTAGCATAATGTTGTGTTAGGGGATAAACCTGCTGTTGGAGATTTCCTTCTATTATTCCTTTTTCTGAAGCATGATCCACAGTTGCATGTAGGCTGTCACAGAGCCTTTCTGCAGAGCTTGCTGTTATTAGTCATCTGATTTCCAATCTAAGCTTACTCGTAGCAAGTTTAATGCCCACTTGTTTGTGTGACAGAGTAGTCCTCGAGTCTAAATAACTCTTCTTCTTTGCATTTATTGTATTGATGCATGTTTAGACATAACAATCGTTATCTCCTGTCAGACTTGGTTTTGCTAGGCTAAGCAAGCTGAAAAATTTTAATCTCCTCTTGTGATAAATTCTCTATATTCTCATCACCCTTGTAGTCCTTTTCCTATGTATTGAGTCTGAATCTCTCAGACAAGGGAAATTTCGAGCAAGGGAAGATTTAATAGCCACTTGTACAATACCATTTGTATTTCACTATTCCCTTGTGCTCAGGCACTGAGATTTTGTTTGGAGGTGAGACTGTGACAAATGTCACTGGAATTAATAGGAGCTAAATCCTCCTGACATCCTATGTCACTTAGTTACTCCACCACTTCATAGTGAATAATAACTTTGATGGTAGTTTTAGGGTCTTGAAAGAGCAGTAGGTACAGATCTAGCTTTCCCTTCTTTCTTTTTCTTTTCCCCTGCTGTGACCTGAACCCTTGCTTCTGAAGCGCTTAATGGGTGATGGATTTGTGCTTGTATATGCTGCTGTGGAGAACTGGAATCATCCAAAAAACAAAATGCAAAAACTTGACTGGAAAATCAACTCAACTTTCTCTTTTTGTAGCTTGATGTTTTGTTGAAAGTATGGCTTATGCTGGTGTTAGGCATTGGGCTGTTTACAGGATATGTAGAAAAAGTAACCCTAGTGAAGGCATAGGTTTATCAGTCTACTAGGTAGCATGCTTTAGTGGATAGATCCCCTAAATGTCATTCCATTGCCCGAGGTCTTATTCCTAGCTCTACTAGTAACCTGTTGTATGAGTCTGGGAGAAGTAACCTCAGTTCATCCGCTTCCTGTTTAATTTATCTGCTTGGATTGTATGCCCTTTAGTTATGGACTTTCTTAATTTGTTTTTACAAATTAGCACAATGGAATCTTAATCTTGGCTTAAGCCCATGGAGGTTAGTTTGGTGCAGTTATACTTGGAAATCTCCCTCTGGTGGTTACAGGTGGCTCATGCTTCTGGAAAAGGGAACATACCCACTATAGCTGCTTCACCACTGAGTAGTAATCTGCTGGTGGAGAAGAAATTCTTTCCTCGCCCTTGTGGCGCTTACTCGCAGTAGCGTCGTATCTATGGAAATAAAAATTGGTGATATAACTGGGTTTAAGAAAAACTAGTGCAGCAGTCCATGTCCTATTTCTGTGCAGCAGTCTTTCCTTAGGTTTTGATTAGACTTCAGAGATGAAAAAGAACAGTTTTGTCTGTTGTTTCTCCCTTTTCTCTTTCC